GCTACCAAATGTATCTGGGGTTTTCCCTCTGTGGGGAGACTGAGGTAATTTAAATTTTTTTCTTCTGTTCACTCATCTATATTTTCTAATTTTTCTATAATTAACATGTACTACCTATGCAATTAAAAAATTTTTAACAGCTTTATTGAGATTATAGTTCACTCATTTAAAATGTACAATTCAGTGGTTTTTAGTATTTTCACAGATATGTGCAACCATCACCACTGTCAATTTTAGAACATTTTCATCAGCCCCAAAAGAAACCTTGTGTGCTTGTCTATCACCTGCTCTCCCTAGGTGCCCCCTTCCTCCAGCCCTAGGCAACCACTAATCTGTTGATTTCCCTGTTCTGGACATTTCACGTGAATGGAATCATATAACATGTGGTCTTTTGTGTCGGGCTCCTTTCACTTAGCATACTGTTTTCAAGCTTAGTCCATGTTCTGGCATGTATCAGTACTTCATTCCTTTCTATGGCAGCATACTATTCCATTGTATGAATCTACCACGCTTTGGTTATCCATTTATCAGATGATGGACTTGACTTATGTAATTTTAAAAATCGTGTTTATTTTTTAAAAAGAATCCATTGAAAGCAAATCGGTCAAGATGACAGTTGGTTCAGAGTGACTATTTCTGGTTGCTTGTTTTGAGGCTTTTCAGCCTGTGATGCCATTTTATGTTTTCAAACACCAGTTAGTCAAGCTGAGAACCCACTCTTTGCAGGAACATGAGCCAGTTCCCTCTGGTGCCTCTGCTGTGTGCCAGGCCCTGCCGAGGTTGCAGCTCCATTTCTCATTGATTCTTTGCAGCCAGCCTAGAAGGTGGGTCCCATTACTGTGCTCATTTTAAAGAGGAAACTGAGGCTCGGAGAGGTTAACCAGCCTGCCCAGCACCCCACTGCCTGCTGACTTTGGGGCCAGGATGAACCCCAGTGTTCAGCATTCAGAACCGAATATGAACCACCTTTCTGACCCACACATTAGTGTACTTAAAAGCGAAAAGTAAAATCATGGCGAATAGTGTGGGTCTTGAAAAATACTCCTCCCATGTCCTCCCTGCTTGCCTTTCATGTTTTAGTATTAAAGTGACATTTGAAATCTGACCGCTCTTTTTAGGACAAACCAATAAAAAAAAAATTGTCAGGATTTCAATCTCATTGGACATTCTTTTCTGCATGTAGAAGGCTGTATCCAAATTGCTTAGATATAGAAAAATGTATAATTTGAAAATAGTGAAAAATGGTTAAGTAGGTAAAGTGGATATCGGAGACTGAAAATGAATTTAAAGGGTAAAATAACTTAGCAGGCAGATATCATTTTTTAAATGCCCCCACAGTGGTAGAATTACCCTGCAGCAGGCAGAAGTAATCAAGAGAGGAAACCAGTCCACTTAAAGCCAGAGACAAACTTAGAAGCAGAGGAGGTATAATTAGGAATAAGAAAACTGGAAGTGAACAAAAGCAGAAAAGATGCGAACTTGTTCCAGAGTTCATGACAATTACCAGGAGATCCCCTAAAGCATAGGCACATTTATAGAAATGCTCAGTGTTCCCTCTGAAATAGGAAACATACCCCATGGTATGTAGAAGCTACAGAAAAGAAAATGCCTGTGACTGGACATATTTATTCACTCGTTCAACAAATATTTATGGAAATGCTCCTGTCTGGCACTGTTCTGGGCCCTGGGGCTACAGCAGGGAACAAAGCAGACCACGTCCCTGTCCTCGTGGGGCTGAAGTTCTGACCACAAACTAGTGAGCCAATGAGAAGATGATTTCTGAGTGTGATCAGCTCAGCCACTCTGCCCCACTGACCAAGTCATCTTGATCGAACTCAGCAGGTCAGATGAGCTGAAAGGGACCCGAGAGGCCATCCTGTCTAGTCTTTTCAGAGTTTATGTTAGCAGCAGAACCTGTGTTAAAGGGCCTCTTCTATGGAGAGGGGCTGTGATGCAGGGAGCTCCTCAGGGCAGTGAGCCAAGATCCTCACCCAGCCATACCCAGAGCCTTGGCCCACAGCGGAAACGTGCCCCCCAGAAGGCCAGAGTGGGAGGGATGAGAGAGGGCCTCTCAAGGTGGGCTTCTCACACGGGTGACACAGGATGTTGCCAGGTTACAGAAGGGGTCTGTGGTGTGGTTGTCACAGGGGGAAGTACATGCCAGCTTCCTCCCCTCTATTTGCAATTCACGTGCGCGTGCGCCCGCATTCACACACACACACACACACACCCCCCCACACACATACACAGTCCTTTCTGAAGGGGTGGCATCAGTGTTTTGTCTCCTATCCCTCATCCACAGCCAGTATTGGTCCAGGGGAAGAAATCTGACTGAGGCTGGATCAATCTGCTGTCTCCGCTGGGCATTTGGGGTTGGGATGCTGAGACTGGGCCAGCTGGTAGTCAGACGGGAAGGAAGCAGAGACCTGGAAGTGGCCGAGTGCTGGTTTTGGTGGGCGCCTGGAGGGAAGGGCCACAGATTGCCCCTACTGAGGTCTCAAGCCTTTTGCTACCTTTCCTAAAACTCACCCCCTCCCACCCCTCCCCTGGCCTCTGAAATGCCCTTTTGGAGCCTGGAAGCTTGGAGTGAGTTTCTCACAATCACACGATCAAATGAGTTGGGAAAACAATGGGTCAGTAAAGCCACACGGATTTCTTTACTGCAGGACTTTTCAGAGGCTTGAATATGCTAATATACATAGTGACTTTCCAAGATGGGGCCAAAGTCTGTGGTGTTTCCCAGACTCATGGGTTGTACCTCACCTGACTAGTATTCTGCAGAGCACCCTTTGGGGAGTGCTAATCCCCTTGCTGTACTAGTGAAGGAATTAAAGCACAGAGAGAGAGTGAGTTCTCCAAGGTCACACAGCTGGTTAATCACAGAGAAGCTCTTGGCACCTAAGGCCTCCCAGTGTTCTTCCCACTGTGCCCCAATTGCCATAAGGCTTCCTTGGACAGATGATGCCTGTACTGGGATTTCTGGGTCAAGGTGGGTGGTGGGAACACAGGTCCAGTGTAGACACTGGGGAAACGGGGTCAAGAATTGAAAGTCAGGCCTTGGTGAGAGAAAGCTCGTTTACTTTCTCGTGGGTGGTAGCCACGTTCAGCAGGGTCTGAGACCTGATAGAGGCCTTGGGCCTAGGCCAGCTGCTCCAGCCACCTTTATGGGGAAGCCAGTAGGACAGCTCCAGGCACCCCAGCCTTCCACGCCTTCCCCCAGACCACAGGCAGACTGAACAAGAACTCTAGGCCCATCCTCTGCAGGGCCCGCCCAGGCAGCCAGCGCCGGGGTGACGTGGCTGTAAATCCCCCCATGGGCCACAGACCCAGTGCCATCCCCACGGTTTTCCTTTCCGCGTCTTAATCTTCCTCCTCAGACTCAGTAACAAAAAGCAGATTCCTGCTGGGGCCGGCCACGCACCGCACCGTGGGCTCGGAGAATGTGAGCCTGGGCTCACCACATCAAGCTGCTCTCTCCTCCCACTTCTCCTTTTTCCCTTCTCAGCCTCTGTTAGCTGGAGGACGCTGCTTCCTCCCGGCCCGGCCCCCTCGCCCTCCTTGGACCCCACTTCCAGCCTTGCCCCAGCCTCTCGTCTTGGCTGCCTGCCCAGCGGCGGCCAGGGCCTGTGGGGCTCACCAGGCCTGCGGTTAGCGGGCCCTCCAGCCCCGTGGTTTGGCTCCAGCCTGGCTCCCCGAGCCTCCGTTCCGGCAGGAGCAGCCTCTGTGTGGCAGAATCAACATTGCCGGTCTGGATTCAAATCCTGGTGCTGCCAACTTGTAGTACTTCCTTCTCTGAGCAGGGGATTGCTCACCTCTGAGATAGGCTGTAAGAAAGCTCCCTGGCATGTTGGACACGCCTGACAGATGTTTTGCTTCAAAAATAAGTCCTTGGCTGTTTGTTCAGGGTTGTTGCAAGAATGAAGAGAGAAGTACTGGGCTGCTTTATTAAGAGTGGGCTGCGCGGGGTTAAGGGACTGCTGTCATTCTTGTGCGTGTTCTGAGTGGACTTGGAGCCCTTGCTTGCAGAGCGTCCCCACCAGCCTGACCTCCCCCAAAAGCTGACGCCCCAGCAGCCCCCATGACCCCTCCCCATCTCCTGTCTCTTCCTGGTAGCATGTCACACCCTCTGGTCAGTTTTCTCGTCAGCAAGACCGAGTTCAGCTGCCAGAGTGAAGATTCCGAAGGTCAGGGCTGGGAGGAACTTAAAGATGATCAAACCTAGTGGTTTTCAAAGTGTGTTCCTTAGCACCCTGGGTTCTCAGAGGTGCCCCAGGCTCCGTGTTGGAGGGGATGCAATAGGACTCTGGGTCCCCCCCGCCCTGCTGCTCCACATAGACCGGAACCATGTTTATCTGTTGTCTGGGTTAGGATTCCACAGGTCAGACTTCATTTCTACTGCTCAAAAGAAAGTTTGCGAATTATTGACCTGCTCTAGCTGTGTCGTTTTACAGATGAGGACACGGAGGCCCAGGGAAGTTAAGTGACTTGTCTCAGGTCACCCCGCTGGTGGGTGGATGGGCTGCAGCTAGAGTCGGTCTCCTGACTCCTGGTGTAGTGCTCTTGTCTAAACAGCATAGGGGAAAGGGAGCCGTGGTTGGCCATGCCCGTAGAGGGCAGGCCTGACTCTGACATCCCTCAGAGGGGTGATGGGGGGATTGTGGTTTCGGCAACAGATGTCCCTGAGCTTCCTCTGTCCCTGCGGCCCAGCCCATCCCCCAAACCAACAAAATCAGCAGTAGCTCTGAAATGCAAAGGGCGGAGGAAGGGGATGATGTGAGCTCTGGAGGCAGCCGGTCCTGGGTCCGAATGCTCACTCCACCACTTGCTGAACCCCTCAAGAAGCTGTTCCCAGCCTGAGCTGTACAAGTCCCTCCCAGGGCAGCTGCGAGTATTGGGTGAGAGGAGGGGTTGGGGGTGCCGGCACCTGTACAGGTCAGCCTTCCAGAAACAGGAGTCAGGGCGAGGACGGGCTGCTTCTGACAGTTGGTTATTTCTTTCAGGAGTGACCGGCCCTGGGCTAGACCCAGGACGCTGCTGTGAGCCCTCTTTCCAGTCAAGCCTGAGGAGAAGGCGAGCTCGCCCAGTCCAGCCTCCTCTTCCTCTCCGAGATGCCACCAGACGCTCAGATCACCACCTGTCAGGGTCGGACAGGATCACGCCCGCCTCCCTTTCACCCTGCTGCCCTCCCGCAGCCACTCCGCAGTGACTTCGCACCTTGCCCTCCACCCGGTGGGGAGGGGAGAGCTCAGCCTTCCCCTTGCCCGGGGCCCGAGGCCCACCATCTGGCTGCAGAGATTCGTGGCCAAAGATTCGACAGACACTGAACAAAATGTGGTGAGCAAACCCCACGGTGAGAAGCCACACGGTTGCTCTGTGACTTGTGCTCCTCTTGTTGCCCAAGTCCCATCTCAAGCCAAAGACGAGTCAGCAGTTCCACTAGGAACTCACGGAAGGTTGGACACTTGGTGACCTTGGAAGCGTGTGGTCCTCTGACTCAGAACTTTCTTTCCACACGGGGCCCTAAGTCAGCTGGGTGCAAGATGAGCCTTCTGGGGGCTGTGAGAGGCAGGCTGGGGATGCCTGTAGGGAGTGGGATCTGAGATCCCGGCCCCTTCTCTCCCTCCCACTGGCTGCCCAGGCCTCTGACCCTGATTCTCCATGTTCCCTGGGCCCAGGCTCCTTCTTGGGCTCTGAGCATCGTGGGAAGGGAGTAAGGAGGGAAAGAAGCATACTGACCACCCCGTACCCCAGCCCAGGGACTGGCTCCAAGGCAACCTGCCTAAGGGTATTTGCAACCCAAGCCAGCCCAGCCAGCCACTCCTTGCCAGTGGCCCGCCCTCCTGGCTGGGCAAACAAGATGGCACCCGGCTTGGGGGCCAGTGGTCTGTTACAGGCTGTGCAGGGGGCCAGAGGGGAGGAAGGGACCAGGGGAGCGGGCTGGTATGTGGGGGAGGGGGCCATGTTCAAAAGCCAAGGCCTGCTCCTTCCTTGTACTCAAAAGGCCAAAGCTGTTCACATCTGTGCTCAACCATCTGCTTCAAATTGAAGTAAAAGCCCCAACATGTAAAGAAAACACTTGCTTGTGTTGAGTGGACTGTTGTGGGTGACCAGGACTTTGGCTGGTCAGTTGGGAGGGGTTGGTGGGGGAAGGGAGAGGTTGGGCTCTGCCCAGAGGTTGAGAGCCCTTCAGGAAGCGGGCAGTGTGTGAATGTGTATGAGTGTGTGTGTGTGTCGGGGGTAGCAGGGCCCCCCCCTGGCCTCAGCCTGGACTAGTGACCAGGAGGCCTGGTCAGGAACACGTGAGGAGCTTTTCCACCTCGTCCCTCGCTTAATCCACACCACGACTTTATGAGGTGGGGAGACTGTATTTGTAATCCCATTTTACAGAGGAGGAAACTGAGGGCGCCTCACTCCAATCCTGTGCTCTTAACCCCTTTCTAGCCCCATAGTCCAGTCCCAGCCCAAAGTCTTTGTGCGGCCTTGTCGCGTCCCTTCACCTCAGTGGGCCTAAGATAGGGACAGTACCGTCCCATTGGGGAGCGGCGAGGGGGCAATAAGATAAGAACTAGGAAAGGATGTCAGGGTGGAAGGGCTGCGTAGGAGGGGCAGGGCTGCCCAAGGAGAGGGGAGGTGATGAGGAAAGAAGGCTGCGCCCGTGCAGGACGACATCTAGCCCTTGGTTCTGCCCACTGTTGCCCTCTCTTGTCTGCTCCTCAGGCTCCTGGGCTGGGGCTGGAGTGTCTGCAGGCGGAGCTGGCTGTAGGGAGCCTCCTCCTCTTGCACTAGTGTTTCCCAGTGATGGCCCTTGCCAAGGACAGAGGTGTGAGGGCTGGTCCTGGATCTGGGACAAGGGCAGGGGACCCAGACTGCTCAGAGCACTCCTCAGAGCAAAGGTGTCGTGGAAGCAGGACAGACCCCGTGGGCCCGGAATGGGGGCTGAGAGGGGACAGTTAGGAAGGGTCAGTCACCCTGGGACTCCAGGCACAGGTCACAGCCCCACTCAGTTGTCCCTCTGGACCTCTGAGTAATGCTGGTGGCACTTCCTAAGGAAGCAGGAAATGTGGACTAACCAGCATCAAACTTGTTGACATAAGAGGACCCTTTCTGTTATTAAGGGGTGGCAGGAGTACGCCCATCCCACTGCCAGGGGACCAGACCCACAGCCTTAGCCCCCAGAGTCAACCCAGGGCCTCCACCCCCCGCCCCTCTCCCGCTCATGGCCTTCGTTACAGAATTCCCTTTCATTCTGAAGCATCTATTGATCATCAGCTGCACTAGGCTGGGTGTGGGGAAGGCTGGGTGTTGGGAATAGAGAGCTAGAGCCCAAGTAGTGCCTGTCTTCACAGAGCTCATAGTTCTGAACGAGAGTTGGGACAGACAAGCAAATAATTGTGATACAGTCAGATGACTAAGGTGTTGTTGGAAGCTTCAGGAAAGAAACAGCTAACTCTGCTGAGGAGGAAAGGGTTTTCCTAGAAAGAAGCCTCTGACTTGGGTCTTGAAGGATGAATGGAAGCTCTCTGTGCAGAGGAGTGGGAGAAGGGCTTTGTATGCAGAGGAATACTTAGCCCTGGTAGGACATTGGAATCACCGGAGGAGATTATTAAATATTGATATAAAGTGTTAATGCCAAAGTCCTATCGCCAGAAATTCTGATGTATTGGTCTGGAGTGTGGCCTGGGCATTGGGAATTTTGCAAGCTCCCCAAGTGATTCTAATGTGCAGGCAAGGTTTAGAACCACTGGTTTAAGTGGGCTCAGGTCTCTGACAAAAAGGTGATTTAGAATCACTGATATGGGATACAGGCTGTGCCAAAATTGCGGATGGATGTGTGTGTGTGTGTGCGCGCGCGTGTGCGTGTGTTTACCTCTGTGCGTGCATGCATATACATACACGTGTGTATGTGAATGACTAAAAGTCCATGCTTTTCTTTCCTTTTGCAGCTTCTTTCCCAGTACAGCAGCTTGTGTTCTTGTGCACACATACACACACACACACACTCCTTCTTGTGTGCACATGCACACCCAGATTCACACTTGCGTACATTCCCAGGTAAGAGAAATCCGTTTCAGATAGATTCACATTTCCTCGGCAGTCTTCTAAATAGTTGTGTGTAAGCAGCTGTGCAAGAAGCCTCTCACCAAAGTGAAAACGCTGGGCCGCCCCGTGGCTTAGCGGTTAAGTGCTTGTGCTCCGCTGCTGGCGGCCCGGGTTCGGATCCCGGGGGCGCACAGACACACTGCTTCTCCGGCCATGCTGAGGCCGCGTCCCACATACAGCAACTAGAAGGATGTGCAGCTATGACAGACAACTATGTACTGGGGCTTTGGGGGGAAAATAAATAAGTGAAATTATTAAAAAAAAAAAAAAGAAAACACGTGAGGAGTTGCCCTCATGGCGCCCTGGGAGGGCGTTTCCCGACTTTGGCACACCCTCCATGCTTCGTTGTTTGCTCTGGGTCCTGCCCCGCTTGCCAGTGATGGCTCATCAGCCACCAGCCACAGAAGGATGGGGGGACCCTCTCTAGGGACCCAGGGGACCTGTGTGAGTGTGTCCTTGTGGGAGGCCCACGTGTGTGCACACATGTCCACGCGTGTACCTCTGTGTGTGCCTGGTTCCTGCAGCACGCACACTTCCTGGAAGGGCCCTGGTAGTCGGAGCTCTCCCAGTGCACAGGCCCAGCCTTACCAGACTCTTCCAAAACTCTGTGCACACAGGCTGCACTGCCTCCTGGTTCTGGCATCAGACATTCCCAGAAGAGAGGCTTAAGTTCTGGGGAGGGGCTTCCACAAGTCCCTGGGCCCCTTTCTGGGCTCACAGCTTGGCCAGGGCTCCGTTGGATTCTGTCTGCCCACAGTGCACTCCCTCCTATCCCCATGGCCCACCATTTGGTCCTGAGACATCCTCCTTCCCTCCCTCCACCTTACCACATCCCCCAAGGCCCTGCGCTGTCCTATTTCGTTTCCCGATTACCCCACCCTCACCCATCTCCCCTTTATCACAAGCCAGTGAGGAACAGAAGTGGGCAGCTCCCAGGGACGGGGAGCTGGGTAGCAAAGCCATGAGCAGGGAGTACAGACAGAGCCCCTCTGAGCCAGTGACACAGGGCTCAGGTCTCTGACAAAAAGGTGATTTAGAATCACTGATATGGGATACAGGCTGTGCCAAAATTGCGGATGGATGTGTGTGTGTGTGTGCGCACATGGGTACAGCTAATGAGCTGAGACAGGCGCTGTGCCGTGGTCAGCCACGGGAGACCTGCCAGGGGTCAGAGCAGGGACTACACTTGCCTTCCTCCTTCCATGCTGCTTCCTGAGCTAGAAAGTGGTCGTTGCCAGCAGCCTGGGTGACAAACAGCCGGCCTTTTCAGAGCAAGACTCGGACATCTCCAAGTGTTTCTCTCAAGTAGATTTGTATTGCCATTCTCACTCTGACCCTTGCTGCCACCTCACCTGCACAGCGGCTTTCTGTTTCCAGGCTCCAGGGGGACGGAAGGCATGGAGGGGCCCTGCCTGGGCGGGGCAGGGGTGGGGCGGAGGGGCGAATACCTCACCCTTTGCCCCAGGGGTTTTCACCTTCCCACACGTCTCCCTTCTGGTCCCCTGGACCCCAGACAAGCTATGTCCGCCTTCCTGAAACCGGGCACCCCAGGGAACTTAGATTTATAAATAACAACTTTGTTTTACATCTGGGCACATGTCTGATCTCCAGGTGGCGCTATGAATTCCTAGAGGGCAAAGATTGGGTCTAATTCATCTCCGGCTCCTCGAAAAGGCCTTGCAAAATATATATGTCGGTTTCTTTGTTGAATAAATGAATAAAAAATGGAAAATATGGTAATTCACTTTTCTTCCTTCCACAAATAACTACCAAGCAGCTAATTTGTTCAAGACCTCAAGAGAATAGGACACAGTCCTTTCCAAGGCCTCAAAGAGGCTCAGAGGGAGACTGTCCAGAGCAGAGTGGAGCCCAGGTGTGGGGCTTTCTGAGAACTGAGCTCCTGCAAAGAAGCTAGCTTCATAGTGCATGCGCTTAACACGTAGTGGATGCGCTGAATGAACATTTATTGAGTGTGTGTGTGTGTGTGTGTGTTTGTGTGTATGAATGAATGAACGCTGCCACACCCCCTCATGCCCCACCTCAGACATCACTAATCAAGGGTGGCTCTTTTTCTCTCTGGGGTCTTGAAGCTGCCTGAGTTCCTGATGGTGTTCCAGGCAGTCACTGTTAATCAACTGAAGAGATGCACTCTCTGCCATCCTGGTCTCCTGGCCTCCCTGGAGTAAGTTACAGGTGGGAACGCCCTCAGGGCAGCCTCCTGGTCACCTTTGTTCCTCCTCCTAGGGCTGTGTGGCTGCCTCCTGGCTGGCCTCCCTGTCTCTGATCTGTTCCCAGCTGACCCTTCCTCCTCTATGGCTGATAGATAAAGGTTTATTTCTGAAGTCCCTCCTCAGGGCCCAAGTCCAGGCTCCTTAGCTGCCCAATGGACCTATCAGGGCCAGTCCCATCCTCTCCTCCAGTGTCTCCAGCATGCCTCCAGTCTCCGTGATCCCCAGGTTGACCGTCTGGGGGTGCTGGCCGAATCCTGTCCCAAGCCTTTAAGGACCCCTCTTTCTCAATCGTGTCCCAGTTTCCTTTTCTCTGGCTGCTCACGAAATGGGATTCTTTCTGGACCCTCAACCTTGCTGCAGTGGAAACAGTTACTTTTTAATCTAACTTTCCTCTGTATGGCACCCACCCAGGCCCCCTGCTTCCCCCCGGGGCTCTAGTCTTTCAATCCCAGAACGTGGGGCAGATGGAGAGGCCCTGCTTAACCCAACAGCAAACGGGCATGTCCTGCCATCCTAGGGGCTCATCTTTCCTGCTCATATATAAATAAAAACAGCTCTCCTCCGCCCCATCTTCAGTGGGAAGTCCAGCATGGCCCCAGATCTCTGAGGATTCTCGGGAGGGGCTCATATCTCATAGTTGTCTCTGGCTTTGATCTCTTGGGTCCACTGAATTCATAATCTCTCTCTTGGTTGCCTCCTATGGCTGATCCCTTCTCTCTACGCTGCTTCAGCTAAAGGAAC